ATCCACCTGCCTCTGCCTCCCCAGTGCTGGCATCACATGCATGTGGCACCATCACCCAGCCAAGGTAATTTAAGTATTTCTAAAGTTGATGGGAAGTGTCTATAATGTATACCTAGAAGCTGAATTTTATCATCTGGCATATGAGTGAGGAGTTCTAACGTCAATTGCATTTTTTTTTTTCAGATTTCTCACAAATTTTCCCCTCTGATGAGACAGATTCATTATTAGTAGAGGCTGACCTTAAACTCTGGGTCCTTTTATTGGCATTATAGGCACTCACCACCATTGATCAGCTTTTTATTTATTTTATTTTTGTGGTGCTTGGGATCATATTCAAGGTCCCACAAACTCCACGCAAACACTCTACAATTGAGTTACATCTCCAGCATGGTCAGATTTCCTTTTCTTTCTTTTCTTTAGGGGGGGTTTCACTATGCAGCCATGGATGGCTTAAACTCACCATGTAGACCAACCAGGCTGACCTTGATCACTCTGCCTTGGCTTCCTAACTCCTGGGATTAAAGGTGGGCATCACCATCTCCAGCCCCAGACTTTGTAAAAAACAGAGTCCAGACACTGTGGAGGCAGCTGGGGCTCCCAAACCGATGTGCACGACTCTCGAAAGCGTACACCGCTGTGGTTACACTTGACTTCTCTTGGAGTTAATATTGCCTCAGACACTTCCTGTATGGTGCAATCTTCCTGAACAGTGACTTTCCATCATTACTAACCAAAGTCTAGTTGAGTAAAAGGAACACGTTACAATACTTGTTCTAGGTGATTTCTGTCAAACTAACGGAAAGGGTCCTCGAAATAGGATGTTTTGGGTTCAACAAAATTTTGTAGAAATAGTGGCTTGTTTGCAAATAGCTGGATTTCATAAAAAGAAAAAAAAATGGGTCTTGACATAAAACATCTTTACAGCTCCTCCACCCAATCTTCTGGAAATGGGACTCACAGTAAAGTGTGCATGAGGGCTGATTAAATTTTTACAGGAGTTCAGGCATAAAACCAAAGTGCGGTATATTCAATAATTAGCAACACTGTTGAAAACTGAGTTTGGGTATGAAAATCCCATAATTTGTAGCTCCACTTCAAATGATGTAGGGGTCAGAAAATGGTGATACTTTCCAACAAAATGTGATCCGGCGTCAGACAGTTGTTTGATCTATGAGCACTGTTTCAGCTTGTCATTCATAAGTCATTCAGACAGCAACGGTAGGTTCTCTGATGAAAGCGTGGTGGTAAAAGCATACCATTCATACTGGCATTGGGGAGGCACAGGCAGGCAAGGGCTACATAGAGAGTTTTAGGACAGCGAGGGATATGTGGAGAGAATCCTATCTAAAACAGTTTTTAAAAAGAAAGGAAAGTGCTAGATAGCTCATCACTATGTCCTGAAAAGATTGGAGAAAAAGATGATAAATCCTAATAATAAATCATATTTGAATGACAAGAGATAATTACACAGTGCTTGGTGGCCAGAAATGCCAAGAAAGTCAGGAGTAACTCTCTCCTGAAGGCCATCATTGTCTGGAATCTCTTATGCATTACAGACTTAGACTTTTGGCTATCGATTCCCCAGGGCCCAAGGGGGCTTTGCTATGTTCGGCGTGGGATATTAGGGGGAAAAAAAAGACCTACGTATATATACTATGTTCTTCTTCTTCTTCTTCTTCTTCTTCTTCTTCTTCTTCTTCTTCTTCTTCTTCTTCTTCTTCTTCTTCTTCTTCTTTTTTTGGTTTTTCGAGACAGGGTTTCTCTGTGTAGCTTTGTGCCTTTCCTGGAACTCACTTGGTAGCCCAGGCTGGCCTCGAACTCACAGAGATCCGCCTGCCTCTGCCTCCGGAGTGCTGGGATTAAAGGTGTGTACCACCACCACCCAGCCACAATGTTCTTATGTCTGTTAACTTTATTCCTCTAAGACAAAATTATATCAGTTCAGCTATAGCTCCACCAGGCATTCAAGGCAGGAACAACTCTAGACATACCAAGCTCTATATCAGTCTACTCTATTTCTCTGGGATGAAATCCTGTCTTCATAACTGCAGTTCCGTCCAGCTCCCTAGCTCATAGTCCTGCTCAGGACTAACTCCTATGCTTCCAGCCTCATCTTCGTCCTCTGTATCCTCTTTCTCCATCTCTGCTGCTCTCTACTCCTGGCACTCAGAAAACTCTGCCTGAGATCCGCTTGCCATCTATGGAACCTCTGTGCTTTTCTCTTCCTTCTTGCCAAACCATTCTGTTTCTACAGAAAATGCCTGCCCTTTCTTTCCCTGGTCACGTGGCTCCCTGCCTCCTCAGGAATGTTGTTTTATCTCTCACCTTGATAAGTAAAAACCTCTTTTGTTCTCAGTCAAAATGCTCTGGAGAACCGCTAGGCCTCCTCAAAGCCAGGGGATGGTCTGAGCTTCATTAGCACAAGAAACAAAGCTATGGTGTCCCTCCAGCTTGTCTCCTAGGCTCAGCAGGGCAGTTTGTAACTCAGCAGGTCCGGGGAGCTGAACTGTTTACCAATTGGTCTGGGCACACAAGGATTTCATAGCAGAAGACAGCTG